ATTAGATTACCTAATATAATTGTCTTACTAATTGATTCAATGCTACTATGTATAATTCATATATTTGAAAACTTTTTAAATCGAAATATTCATTAATTGCCTTAATAATTAAAATAATTGTTAGTCAATCAATATTCAATAGTACTAAAAGTATTATTTGAATTTTTATACATAAGATATAATACTATTAAATCGAAATAATTAAAAATAATGTGTCCATATTACAAAAAATTTTATAATAGTAATTTTTATTGCATAATAGAATTTGGCAATTATTAAACATTGTTTATGGTAATTATTGTATGACTTTTAATACTAAAATTATTAGGTAAAATTTTTATAATTAAGGTATAATATTCTTAAGGTAAAATATTGCTTATATATGGTTTACCCGTATTAACCATCACTATATTAAATTAATAAATAATTCTTTTAATATAATATATTATTAAATCTAAACATATGATTAATATTTATTCAATATTATTATGGAAGTATTACAATTATAAATTTTACTCCGTATTAAATTTTAAATGGCTTAGCATATCGAAGCAAACATGGTAAGTCAATAACATTATTTTACATTAGTAAAGTGATTTTATATCAAGGAATGTCAGATGAAGAATAAAATTAAAATAATACTCTATTGAAAAAAAAGCCACAGTACTTAATCATTATTTTCCTAAAAAAAAAAAAAAATTAAATGGCAAGAAAAACGTCTTGAAGGGAAAGACAAACTACTCTCTTATTACAAAAAATGTACACTTTAAAAACGGAGAAATTGAATCGAAACAAAGTCCAATGCTTTGATATATTGACAACTAAAAAATGCTTTTAATTTCATTTTGGTTTTTATTGTATTCTTAGTATGGTTCCCTCTATAAGTCTATATATATTTACATATACACATAATTCGTCCCTCGATCACAAAACTTTATCATCTTGATGAGCAAGGAACTCTTTTGCTTCCCGATCAATCTTTCTAGATCTGTATCTTCTCCATAAAAAAAAAAAAGACAAAAATATATATATATATATCAACATTTTTTCTTATGAACCACTTTTGTTGTTTAAAAACCATAAAATACAAAAAAAAATAAAAACAAAACAAAACCCAAAAAGAAGAAAAAATAAAAGAAACTAAGATGATGAAAACCTCACCAATGTAAATCACGTATCAACCTCAACTGTGGAAGATCACATGATGATTAGAAGTCTATTGCTTCCCGGTCAATCTTTCTAGATCCGTATAGTATCTTCTCCACAAAAATAGACCAAAAAAAAAGAATATATCAACATTTTTTCTTACGAACCACTTTTGTTGTTTAAAAATCAAAAAATACAAAAAAATAAAAACAAAACCCAAAAAGAAGAAAAAATAAAATAAACTAAGATAATGAAAACCTCACCAGTGCAAATCATGTATCAACCTCAACTGTGGAAGATCACAGGATGATTAGAAGTCTATTGCTTCCTGATCAATCTTTCTAGATCCGTATCTTCTCTACAAAAATAGACAAAAAAAGAAAAGAATATATCAACATTTTTTCTTATGAACCACTTTTGTTGTTTAAAAATCAAAAAATACAAAAGAATAAAAACAAAACAAAACCCAAAAAGAAGAAAAAATTAAAGAAACTAAGATAATGAAAACCTCACCAGTGCAAATCACGTATCAACCTCAACTGTGGAAGATCACAAGATGATTAGCAAAAATCAATGAAATAATTAACCTTAGTTGGGGTTGTGTATGGTCATATAAGGTGTATTTATACACAATGGATGAGATCAAAAGGGTTTAGTATTGAAATTATAAAATGGTAAGAGATCTCAAGAAAGGTAAAATCTTTAATATTATTAAAATGCCATATTTGTCTAAATATTTGATATTACAAAAATGCCTCTAAATTTTGGCGGGAAAACTTGACTAGGAGGATTTTACTTTTATATATATATATATAGATATATAGATTTTTAACTTATTGGCACCAATAAGTTAAGCCAAAAAAATATTTACCAAACACCCATGCTAATTATTTGACCAGTGATACAAATTAAAATTGATCAAATCAACTAGATTTGGCTACTAAGTTATTTCCGAACATATATTTCAGTAATAAAAAATTGACACATTATATGTCTCTAATCTTAGTATACATGTTTTTTTTAATACTATTGACCATGTTACAATACAATATACATGAATGCAAATAAATTAAGCCAATAATTACATTATATTATATTGTGAATTGAAGGGAAAGGAAAGGAAAGAAAGGATAATAACACTTTAAAATTGTCAAGAGAAAAAAATTAAAAATATTGAATTCATATTGATATGATGGAGATATAGCAAGAAAGAAGGTAGCAAAAAATATGATGATGAATAGTAGTAGGTGAATATATTATTATTAGTTAAGTTAGCCAACAGAGTCAGAGAAACAACTTTAATTTAATATGTTTTTATGATTAATTAATGGTATGGTAAATATGTACCAACGTAACCATGAATTCACACCTCATCATCATATCATCCATATCTCTATATATAATATAGCAGAATTAAGGTAAAAAATTTTTCCCTCCATTTTGTGCATTTGAGAGTTATGGAATATCAAAGGTTTAGGAACTTAATAATCATCATAAGTCTTTATATATATATATATATATATATATATATATATATATATATATATATATATATATATATATGAAAGAGATTGTTGAGTTTATACAACACAAAGATGCAAGATAAAAAAAAATACGTACAAATTTATAAATTCATGTAATCATGAATTAATTTCTACGAGTATTATATATCAATTTTGATTATATAATATGTACTAACTTTTTAATAGTTTGTAATTTTGATTAGTTTTTTAATAATTTATTTACAAAGAAAGTTAGGTAAAGTAAAATTAAGTAGGGAAAAAATTTTTCCGCCTAACTGTGAATGCATATTAATAGATTTGTAAGATCATTATTTTTTTTTGTGTAAACCACGAAGTGGTCCGGGTCTTTCTCTGTCTGTTTAACTTTGTAAGATCATTATTGCAAATGAGGTTAGCAATATGAATGCACTTTTTGTCATATATTGTCTTTAATATTTAAATATTATAATGTATAACTAAACTTACATTTTTAATAAAATTAATTCTACTATGTATCATAACATTACAACAATACTTATAAATTTTTATCCGTGCATCGCACGGGGCAAATACTAGTATGTGTATATATAGAGAGAGGGCTGGCGATGCAATTAAGAAGCGCTCTACTCTATACATGCAGCAACCTAGCTAGTAGCTAGCTAAAATATTATTCAAATTAAAGGCCGGCTTCAATTGAATTCATTTTAGCTTAGCTTCTTCTTCTTCTTGGGTCGGCTCTCATCGATCTGATCTCTACACCAAATATAATTAGTGCAAGATCGATGAAGAGTTTATTCACAGCGATGATGCTTATTTCCTCTCTCCTAAATGGGGGAAAATTAAAGTTGGCAATAATGATGTAGGAATGGACGTGCCGGAAGCAGAGACCCGCATGTAAAAACGACGCCGTTTAGCTATTAAAATGCAAAACAAAATTGAGAAGGCAATGAAACATAAGTAGATATTATGAGCTTATAGGAATGGACTCAAGGACTTTAGCTACCGCAGGGGATGCTGCCTTCCCTTCCATAAACAGTAAAAATGTAGATACACCAATAACTTTATGATAGTACATCCATGGAAGAATTTGGTCTAAGCTGCCAGATGTACTTGTCATAATACATATCTGCATATTCAGAAACAGGACAAGCCCATATTAAAAAAATATATATGTCGGTTGAACCCATATTAAAAAAATGGCCATATCATTGCATTTTAATTAAAAATGAAATGGAAATTAAAAATTGGACGAAAATATTTTAATAATAATATTCTACATCATCCATATTTTAAACAATAGTAAAGCTAAATTAAAAATGGAACGAAAATATTTCAATAATAATATCTACATCATCAATTAAAAATGGAATGAAAATTAGGTAAAAATATCACTGCATTTGATATTCTAATTGACTAATTGACTGAAAATAAAAAAGAATAATTGAATGAAAATGAATCTCATATTACTAATTGACTGAAAATATAAAATGATTACTAATTGGGTGATATTCTACCATTATATATTTTCACCCGAGTAATCCGTCCGGATGGACTAATAAAGGTGTTAGCTCTAAACGTGGATGGACAAGATTGTGTTGCCACTACCAATGTCTTCTACAAAGAGGTTTCAATAATGTGTAAATATAATCGGTGGTATTATTATTTTTTTAAATGGAAAAATTGCTATATATCTAGACAAAAAATATATCTTCCATACAAATGAATTAGGATAGCAATTCATTCCTATAACCGAGTTGTTAGAGAACAAGCACATTGATAAATAAAATTTTCAAAGTTATAGCACCGCATGCGTACATCTAGACATTAGCTATTAATTTGAGCAATTATTTGCACAAATTCAAGCAATGATAACATCAAAATACATAAACGATCCAAACCATATCTTAATTGCACTATATAATATTTGATATTCTAATTTAAATAATTATATATGAATTCAAATATTCTTAATATATTACAACAAATCCATTCTGTGCATCGCACGGGTGAAAATACTAGTTTATTATAATTACACTATATATAGGGCTCTAAAGTTTAAAAATGGGTAGTGGGCACTACTCCAAGACTATTCTAAAATGTTTTTTTTTAAATAAAAAATTATATTTTTACAAAAATTTAAAGTTATCATTTAATTATTTTCAATTAATCCATACAATCTTTTAAATTCATATATTAAAGGCCTTTGTGAATGCTACTGAGTCTATTACAATGTAATATCTGTTTATAACTATTTTCTCAACCTGCTGAAACACAGAGAGCTCATATATAAGTCCAAATTGGGCGCAAAGGCTTTTGTTTTTATTTTGCCAGAATCTATGATAGAACCGGCTCTTATAGCTGGGCAGGGATGATATTCTTCCAAAACCAATGTTTTCTCCACAAGAAAATGGTCTCTTCAATGGGGACACCTTTGGTCTCCGGCAAGAACAGGTAGACGAAGAGTGTCATGGCCGCAACCCACCCGGCGAAGAAGAGGAAAATCCCATACTTTAAGGCGCAGAGGAGTGAGAGGAAGCACTGCCCTATCGCGAAAGTGAGTAATAAGTTCACCGCCACCGTGATGCTCTGTCCCGCCGACCGTGTTTCCAACGGGAATATCTCGCTCGGCACGGTCCACCCCAGAGGCCCCCACGACCACCCAAACGCCGCCACGAACAGACACACCACCGCCACCACTGCCGCCGAGTAAGTCCTCGAAAGCTCCTTCTCGTTGTTCCCTAACTTCACCCCCAAAATGACCGCCACTATTATCTGGCATATAACCATTTGTACCCCTCCGGCGATGAGCAAAGCTCTCCGGCCCCATCTATCCACCGTGGCTATGGAAATGAAGGTGGAGGCGACGAGAACGCCGCCGGTCAAAGCGGAGGAATACAGCGAAGCTTTCCCTCCAAAACCCATAGTCTGAAACAGCACGGGGGCGTAGAAAAGGATAGCGTTTATGCCGGTGAGGATCTGAAACGCCGGCATGAACACCGCCATGATTAACTGCGGCCTGTTCTTCCTCTCCACCATGTTTCTGAACGGACTTTTGATCGATTTCGCGAGCTCGCTCGCTTCGATTATGTCCTGCAACTCCGCGCCGACGTTTGTTGTCCCGCGTAGCTTCTCCAGCACTTGTCTCCCTTTCTCCGGCGACCCTCGTTCCACCAGGCTGTTTGGGGTCTCCGGCAGGAGGATTCCGCCCGCCGTCATCAGAAGCGCGGGCATCGCTGCCAGGCCGAGAGAGATCCTCCACCCGTGCGGCTTGATCTTCGCCGTTCCGTAGTTTATCATGTTTGCCGTGAAGATCCCTAGAGTGGTCGCTAGTTGGAACATCATGTTGAGACCTCCTCGGAGATGGGTCGGCGCCATCTCCGACAGATACATCGGAACCGCCTATGAATGATTTCACGGGTAAGAAGGCTAGCACAAAACCTCATTAGCTAAGTACAACATTTTTCATTTCCAATTATATTATGGAAAATAATAGATGTGCTCCTATGGAGTATAAGTATAACTCCCCATGTGTACAAATTTTATTGGATAAAAAAAAAATGAATAAATAAAGACACTGACTTATTATGTTTTTAGATTAATCAACATGGAATACCTCAACAAGGGTAAAACATAAGAGAAGATGTAATATTATTCTTATATTATTTTGACTTTTCCTCATAATTATTAAATCACTTTCACCCTTTGGTCACATTTAATATAAACTTTGATTTTTGACACATGGAGATTTGGATTTCAAAATGTTAGATTACCTCAGAAACGTTATATTATTGAGAATGTTAGATTCTTGTGTTCGGTTAAAATTGAGATATATAATATAAACCTGTTTGGTTTAAGAATTATCTTTTATTTTTTAATAATTTTTTTTTATTTAATACCCCTAACATATTTTCATGTATTTCTATAAAGTTCAAAATTAAAATAAATAAATAAATAAAGCAAGGGTAACCAATATGGAAAAGTATTATTATGTGTACTCCATTTTCTACTCCCAACTTCCATTCTTACACACAAAATCTTGATGCAAACACTTCCATTGGTACCCACATGAAAAATTGGCTTATCAGTGTTCGCCACATATGGATAAAATTTAGGGAGTAAGATTTGAATTGAAAGTACATGTAGTATAACTCCAACGTATGTAAGTATCCAATTTAAAAATAATTAACTAAATACGAGCTTAAACTCAAAAAATAAAATTAATTTATAAGCTAACATGACGTAATAAAAAATAACATAAAATATGATACGTATAATAAGTTAACATAAAAAATATATTTAACAATAATGAACTATTAGATGATGGATGATAGTTGATAGTTGATCAAAAAAATTGCTTTGAACAACTTTTTGAATTCTAGCGTTTTAGAGAAATAAATTGTTACTCATATGAATTGTTTAAACAAGTGAAACAGCTCATAGTGATTAAAAAAGTCAAACGCATGCATATAAATATAATATAACAAGAAAATGAAAGTCCTGCATGCATATAATATAATATAAATATACTCCACTCAAATGTGACAAATATGCATGCATGATAGTGGGATCAAACGAGGAAGCCATGCATATATCTGATAGCCATGAAACCAAAAGTGAGAAAATGGTTACCTGATTTCCGAATCCGATCCCAAAGCCGAGCATGATCCGGCCAAAGATGAGCATGGTTAAGTTTACAGATGATGCGTCTAAAGCTGCACCTATGAGAAAGCACAGTCCGCCGGAGATTATACTGGCACGCCGGCCATACTTCCGCGTCAAAGGAGATGCCACCAGCGTCGCCGCCAGTCCGGCGAGATAGAGGGAAGATGTAAACGCTGCTAGGCCCTGACTGTTGTACTTGCAGTAGTTGTTCTCATGTGCATGCATTTTGTTTCTGTAAACTGATGGGAAAAATTTCTCCAGAAACCCATCCATGGATGTCACCCCTCCTGTCATAATAATATTAATTCAGCTTAATTACTACTAGGTTAGGTTGCATTATATTATATTATCAACTTTTTTTTAGCTAAAGGTTTCTTGATGTTTGGAAGTGGCTAAGGAAAAAAATGAGACGAAAGAAGAACTAGAAGAAAGGCCCGCAAGAGTTTACATGAACAACTCACTTGATACTCAAGTGACAAATTGAGTTATGAGGATTCATGATCGAGTTCTGATAGTCAGGTCGAGATGTGGGCCCTTAGGAACGAGGGACTTTGCTATTGTTTCTATTGGAAGGTAGGCGTCTGGGGGAAACATAGCCAAATGGTCATTTTTGGCAATTATGGTTATAAATTTTTCCTTAATGGTCTACACACCTGTGCGGATTAAAAATAAAAAGTACATTATTTTGTATATTATTAATTATTGTACACTCAGTACACAGATAATATACGTTTTAGTATATTAATCTCATCCATTTTTGGTTGTCCGATCCCGAAAACACTCCAACTGTCTAACAATAAACAGATGAAATTTGTGAAGCAGAGTATTGTAGGCTAGAAAACCGGTTACCTGAAATTCCGACATCATATCCAAACAAAGAACCGCCGACGGCGGCGACCATGCAAGCAACCACCACATAACAAGTGACCCTTCCTTGGTATTGCTCCGCCCTCGACCTGCCCACCCTGCCGCCGCCGCTGAAAGCCCCACCTGGCATTGTGCCTGCTTCTTCAATCTTTAATTCCCAGCTCTCAAAGCTTTAAAGGGATAAAAAACCAGACAAAAAATCATAATGATAAAGTTAATGTGGAAATGGTTAATCTTCTGTCTGGAGTAAGGTTTTATACCATGCTTGTATTTGTATTCCACATACTAAAAAAAAAAAAAAAAAAAAAACATTTTTAATCCAATCTGTATGTTAGGATGAAACGCTTACCATTCAGTCAAAAAACTATAGCTAATAGTGAATGTGCAACTTATTTCCACTTGTACGTTAAGATTATATTAAGACTTACATAATAAAATTATAGCTAGTACTGAATGTGCAACTTATTTCCACTTGTACGTTAAGATTATATTAAGATTTACATAATAAAATTATAGCTAGTACTGAATGTACAACTTATTTCTTTACTCGCCATCACATTGTTCAAGACAGACTAAACACTAAACTTGGCCCTTAAGAGTTTTACCAAACCTCCGTCCAATAATTCTTCAACCATTGGATACTAGACATGCCCATTTACCAACCCTGTCCAACCATTCGCCATTGGCCAAACACATGTGTATGTGCAAAAACATAGATTTACCTTTTGCATGCCCAATTGCCCCGTGCAAGAAATTAGTTAATTCTTGTATCTTTATCCAAGGTGCTGACTTTCTGTGATCGCTATTTTATCCTTGTAAATCTTTCTCACTGTTTAAAATGGTCCCACTTTTATATTATCACATTTACAAATTCTTCACTATTTATTTTACGAGTTTTACTACATGTACTCCCAAATTATACTCCCTCACTTATACTTCATGACATGACAAACAAAGATAGACTATTTCGATCATGTGGGTCCCAACCTCCCATGAAATATGTCTACATCAAAAATTTGTGAGAGGAGTAAAAATTGGGAGTAAAAAATAAAAATACATGTAGTATTTTTCTTATTTTACATCTTACAGATCTCTCTCACTCTTAAAAATATGCCTCACTTTCATATTATATTATAAATATAATAAAAAAATTAAAAAAAAAAAAAAAAAAAAGAGCTGCTTCTTGTAAATTTGCAAGCGACGGCAACATCATAAAAAAAAATAAAAAATAAAACAAAAACAAAAAAACATTTCCACTTGCCACATCAACTAGCCAATTCCTTCTTTGCTGGAATAATAGCAGCCTTAGTTGTTACTTAAAGCCAAATTGACTATAAATAAATATATGAAATGTAAGCAAAGTTGAGGCTTCGTTTGTTATCTTATTCATTGATTTATGAAAAACCATGTTATTGCTACTTAGAGGGTGCACATTAAGTGAAACTCATTTTGTCATTTCCTAGCTTAAATTAAGAAGTTTCCATAATGAGTTAAACTTAAAATATTATAATTAGCAAAAGTAATTATTTGTCTATTTGATCAATTTGATTAAGGTTGTCTCATAGATTAAATTTTGTTATCTTATTCTATTTGCATGCAACATGAATTACTTGAGCATTTATTGGATCCATAACCCATCTAATATTGAAATTGCAAGTGTTGTGTTTGACTGAGAGTATAGTTAGAGATTAATATATAATATACGGTTAAGTAAGTCTAAAATGATTGTATGTAAGTGTTGTGTTTTTTTTAATGATGAGGACATCCTCAATACAATAGTGTGAAGATTTTGAGAAGATTTGACAGGTATGATTATGAAAGAAAAAATGGGAAAGGGAAAAAAAAAAGAAAATTAAAATCTAAAATCAAAAAAAAAAAACAAAAAAACAAAAAAATTAGAATCACACGCCCGTCTGGACGCACGTGAGGCACAACTCTCTTCCCCCAAGATGGGACCCATTATCCCTGCAAAATCCCCAAATTAACTTAACAACCTCACATCTTCTATTCTTCTCTCCCCTCCCCTTTCTCTTTATTCCAAATCATCTACTTTTTCTTAAAATTTGCGCATGAACCCCTTAATGGAGATGTCATCTCCACTCTTTTGAGAGAATACCCTCACATATTCTTCTTCTTAAAATGAGTCCACAAACAGATAAGCGCATTTTGCTCTTGAAGGGTACAGATGAAGAAGTGGAAAAATATGACAAAATAGACAAAGAAATTGGCCAAAATTTTACTATTATCAAGAAAAAAAATTAACCCTCATAGTATTACTACTGAATGAGAAATTTCACTTAAAACTTAATTCCAGCAACAGTGTAAGAGTTCAATTCTTGCCACAAAGTGCAAAGAGTGTACAGTGATGGGTCTTGGGGGTTCATTAGCACAACCACTTCCAATCACAGAGGAAGATCATTTTGCTGCTAATAAACATCTCCCAACATTATGCTTGTCCAGCATAGTTCATGAACTCTGCAAGCTAACATCCATATTGAAATCTTTATTTTAAAGGAGAAAGTGAAACCAGAAATTGTTAAGAACTACTTATAACACTGATAACTGATAGCTAAAGTAACCATAAGCTAACATCATAGTGGGAAAAGCTTTTCCCTAGAACTCAAAGAATGAAATGACACCATAAATCATCATTTGGCACCCAGCCCTTGTGATTTAGGACGACGTGTTGCGAGTATAGGGGCGGTGATGCCTTGCGAATCTTTACCAAGTCCTGTGCCTTCAACGAAACCCATCTTCGCCATCATCTTGGATCCAAAACCTTTTGTGTGATTCTCGAACGATCCAAATCCTGGAGAACCGTACTGGGCTTTTTGGCCTTGAGATCCTTTTTTACCTGATTTCCTGCTTCTTGTAGGGAGATCCTCGCCAAAGCCAACCGATTTAGGAGTGGGAGTCTTTGTTTCGTTAGCAGTGCTTGTTTCAGGGACGTCAGCTCCCAAACCAAGTGCTTTAGGGCGTTGAGAAACTTGGATGGGCTCCGCAATACCCTGTCCATCCTTTCCTAAACCTCCGCCAGTGAAGCCCATCTTGACCATCATCTTGGAGCCAAAACCGGTTGTGTGCAGCTCGAATGCACCATAGTTTGTTGAGCTTGATACACATTTCTTTTCATGGCAGCTGTCACTTGACTCGGTTGATTCAGTGATTTTCAGCTCAACTTTCTCGGAACTCATTATACCACTTGATATAAATGATACGGGTTGAGAAGAGTAGGAACCTGTTTTACCATTCCTCTTCTTTCTACTTGAGTCTTTATTGCCCCCAGAATTCGATAGGCTTTTAAGTGATTTTATCTGAGAAGATTTTGAGTCCCTGGGCGTTGAAGTAGTATAACTGCCTCTTGAAGGTTTGTTTGCGGGTACACCATTGACTGTGAAATCATCATCCTCGTCATTAGCTCCGATTAACTGAAAGTTCAAAAGCCAAGTGTGACTAGGTTAATGTCGTGAAGATTTCATCTGGTGGGATTTTGGTCGAAGTAATTCAAAAAACATAAACAATCAGAATCAGATATATTTAATACCTTTTCTATGCGAACTCTATCATTGGCTGATGGCATACATGTGTGATGCGTTCTTGCCACCGTTACAAATCTACAAAGTAAAATCATGAGACAATCGAAATGCAAATACTACCGTGTTCCAAGAACAAAACTTGCAGTAGGAAAGCAATAATTTGGAAAATCCGTCAAGCTTTGTACCTCTTCTTGCCAGAACCTTGACAACCACTCCACAAGCGGTAGACTGATGCAAGTCTTCGCACCTGCCGTTAGTACATTCCAGAACCCTTCACATTAATTAGAACAGCACTTGGAAAGGTATCTTACTATTCGCCCAAAAAATGAGGTACAAAGCATCATACCTGAGAACAATCTTTTGTGTGCATAGGTTCAAATGACAACATATCAGCTCCATCCAGAACCATTTTTTCCAGTTTCTACATTAGAGAATTGGGTTAACATTAGTCTTCAAGATTGAAGCGTTAACTTGTTGCTTTTCCATTTCAGCATTCTCAATTTCTTTACAACCATATTCCCCAAGGCAGAATAGAGCCCGACAAATACTTATTTAAAAGGAAAAAGGAGAAAAAGAGAAGCTTGACAAAAAGAACGATACTAATAAGTACAATGATGCTATATTTGACAGTTATTCACCATATAACAGGCAAGTAGTTGTTTCTTTTCCTGTTTAGAAGCAGAGAAAATTAGAGATGGAAAAATATAAGGAACCCTAACTTTAGTAAGAAATTGCCATGCTTAATTATTGGTCATATAACTAGCAATTCCTTGTTTCTTCTGCATGCCCCCACCTCTCCACAATGCAGAGAAAGATTTCCAACTTTAGCGCTCAAAGAATTTTTTGTTTTATTTTTTATTTTTGTTGGGGGGTTCTATTTTACATTTTTTTCAGATAGCACTGCTCTTACTCCTTTCAATTATATTCCATTTGAGGATTAACCAGAAATATTAACAGAGCAATCATAGCCGGGGTATTAGTGTATTATATACTCCAATGGTGGCATAAAGCAAATGACAGGTGCCTCAACATTGATCAAGGCTTTGGATTGGCAATGCATTTAAAGGTAAAAAAACACGGCATGAGGGCCAAAGAATTTTTTTTTAGCACATAAAATCCAACAGCCTCTTACCGCATTAATTTTCTGGAGATCAACACCACGGCGAATCATTCTTTCTCGGCGCTTTGATGCAATCATTTCTTTACGGTGTTTCTTTTTCTCACCTGAGATCATAAGCTAGGAGTATATACAGTGGAGTTGAAGGCATGTGGTTAAGATATCCAAAGACATGAATGATGGCAATAGGCATAATGGAAAAGACCGATTAACAAAAGGAAGCATTATGACACACGGAAAACTCAAATAATCAATAAACAAAAAGATGATACACATACAATCAAACTTGCAATTTATTATTATTATTTATCATATCATATCATACTATTCCCAATTAAAAAATTCCACTGAAAATCATGTCTGGGCATCTAAATGCAAATATGAAATAATAGGTTCTACACTTCATGCTTTATTATCCATCACCATTGCTGCACATAATTTAGTATACAAATAAGCGCACATATATAAATAAATTAGTAAAGCAAAGTAAAACTTGTAACTTGGTAAAAGATTTGGAAAACAGACTTCTTCTTGAATGAGTGAAATTCCATATACCTGGATTCCTCCTGAAATTTTTACTTTTTTGAGACTCAAGAGGCCATGACTGTGGAAATTTAGCAGCATGCTTCTTTCTACCTGAAACAGTTCTTGGATCTTTTACAAGCATAAGATCATCTAAAGCAGATGACCAAACATACTTGTCAGGAGTATATTGGCTTTCTCCCTGACTTTTTTTCCTAGACTGATGTTTCTTCATGCCATACTCCCTTGATGCTTCCTGAAGAGCAATCCCACTCAGCTTCTCTAATGTTTCGTCCAATCTATCATCATCTTTAGCATCTTGAATCTTTCCAACAAGTTGATCAACATTTACAACATGGTCAATCCCGCCAGTACTTTCAAGATAATCTGCAGCAACTTCGTCATCGATTTCTGAATGACTATTAGAGGAATCATCACTATCAGAAGAACCAGTGGACTCCCCGGATTCTGAAGAACCTGAAGTTTCTTCCTCAAGCAGGTCATCTTCATCATCATCCTCCTCATCTTCTTCTTCTGATATATCATGTGTATATAATCTCAAGCCCCCAATGGACAAAAATCCTTGGTTTTCCTCTGGAGATAATTTCTCAGCTGCCAATCCATCATCCATCTCACCATCAACATCAACATCAGCATCCATATCCTCATCAGAGGAAGATGATTTAAAATCAGAATCTTCCTTATCATCAGCTTTAGAAGATGATCCAATACCATGCATTGCTTCTGCTTCGTTATAGAACCCTAATCCTCTGTGTGTGTTTTCATCCACTGAAAAACCCGTACTGTAGTCATAAACACATTCCATTTCTTGATGTTCAACATCTGGTCTTTCACCTAGTGTGCAAGTTGTACTATAATCATAAACATGCTCCATATTTTGAGGTTCCTTATTTGATCCTTCATCTATATACGCAACAATTTTCGACTCCTTGGAACCAAGCAAAACAATAGGATGCATCCCCACTGACTTAACATCCTTAACTTCTCCACTACTCTCACTAGCCAAACCATCCTGTTAAGTATCCAAATCAAATTCATTACAGAACTGCACCTGTTTTTCTTATCAAGAAGACAATCCATAAAAAAGAAAAGCAAAGTTTAAACACCTAATCAAACACATTAAGAACTACTACCAACATCCCTGCCCCTCCATCACAGCTTAATCACTACCATCTGAACCATAAAAACACTAATTCTATCTTAAAAATTGAATCTTTACTATGTTTATGAACAAACATATACCTGAACACCATCAGAAGGATACATATAAGCAATCGCATTCCCTCTAGTCTGCTTAGATTCACTTCTGGACCGTGAACCCGAACCGGAACTACTATTCGGAGCTGCGTTCTTGCTACCAATTGCTGGATTCCTACTTCCATTTCCATTTCCACCACGCAAATTCTTCTCTAAAAGTCCAATAAAAATTAAAAAATTAAAAAATTAAAAAAAAAAAAAAAAAAAAAAAAGTAAGCAAAACCAATTTCACCGCGCAAGAAGTAAGCAGAAATCAAACTCAAAAACTAAAAATCTTAGCATTTTAAGATTGAACGAACCTCTATCTGGAGTAGAATCGAAGCGCTGCCATTCAGACAATATCCCACCTTCGACGAAAAGAGCCCGACCCGAATACGCGTTTCGGGACCTACGGGTTTTGGATTTATTGGATCCCTTTTTGTTATTTCCCCCTCCCATTTTCCGATCGATACTGAAAGCAGCGATCACGCAAGGCGGAGAGAAAGAGGCGGAAAGGGTTAAATTGCACGTCGGAGCAAGTCGGCGATGGAGAGAGAGAGAGAAAAGGATAGCCTGCGAGGCTGTGACGAGGAAGAAGTGTACGTTTAAGGGTTGTACGCATTGACGTCCATTGTTAAAGGCAGAAGGTACAAGTGCACGATGCACTGTGATGAAGGCGTATGGATATGGGCTGTGAGCGTATCAAGCACGAGATTGGAGAAAATCAACAGCGGAGGAAAGGAATATGCTGCGTGACATGCTATGATGCTAAGGGTAGTTTAGTAATTTTCATATAGATCAAACTATCAAAGTAGCTCAAAGTCATTGTCAATTTGTCATACAACTAACTATTTTTTTCTTCCTCGTAGTATATCTTCGACCTCATGAATCCGTCTCAATACTCATGAAAAAGCTAAATTCTGAGTGACTCAAATAATTCAAAATTCTCCCACTATATGTTTAATTGTGCACACAAGAAATATTTATCATCACTGATTGGTCAAAATCCTCAAATAACTATTTAGATTTTGAGAGGGATACGAACCATGCATACAATGTCACTATAAGTAAAATTAAACGTTGATTGGTCAATCAGTACAATTAATTTCTTTTAAAATTGTACATATTTTATATACATGTGATGTATAAATAATGTACATCGACAGTGAACCATAGCTTGCCACACCATTAAAATAAAACATCATTATCAACCGAATTCTTATTTGGAGCCTTGGAGGTTTGGGAGCTTAGTTTTACCTACTAAAATGGCTTAAAGAAGCAAATGAGTAGACATTCCAAACTTTTTGCCCGATTTCCAGTGCTATTGACGAACATGCGGTCTATTTGACACATGTCGAGCCATTATGGAATTTTCTTAATCTACATGTGGAGCCGTTATCAAATTTTCTTAATCCTTCTCTACCCATGCATACAAATTTGGATTTCAGTACTCTTTTCTTAATCCTTCTCTACCATGCATACAAATGTGGATTTATGACAATACTCTACATGTGGAGCCATTATCAAATTTTCTTAATTCTTATTGTCTATGTTCGTGCAGTAATAATATGGTGTTGATTTCTCTGTGTTGATCACCATATGAAAAAGATTTGCTATATTGTACTAATCTTTGGTCAACCGGTAGGGCAAACATCCACGCGCCAGGGTGTCCACGTCTTCAAGCTTTCGAAACTCATTTTGAGATTTGATTTGCACCCCCTTCCCTACACGTGAGAGGGTCTATTTACTATACACAATTCAACCTTCTTAAAAAGTTGAATTCTATATATAATAATAGTGTAAACTTACATAATTTTTCAATGTTGGACATATGTGTGCAACTTAAAAGCATTTCAAATAACCATTTTTCAGCTCAATGAATACATTTTATGAATGATTTTTTTTATTTATATTTATTTGGGTGTATAATATATCAAATTAAATATCTTATAATATGAAACCACTTTTGACCCATGCCAATAGTTGTTTTCATCTCATTCATTGTTGTAAAAATCTCTCTCTTTTTTTTTTTTTTGGGGGGGGGGGGGGGGGGGGGGGTTTGTTTACCATCATAAAATGATCTAAAATAAAACCACTTTTGATATTTAGAAAAAATTTCACACTTGGTAATACCAATTAACCTCCTAATAAAGTTGTCAAAAAATTTATAAGGTTAAACCAACATCGACAATCGGTGGTCAAAGGTTTATTTTATTTTATTTTTTAAATAACCATAGTTGTTAGGAAATTAAAATTTTGTAATTAACCAACAAAAACAACCATAGACATTATATTTGGAGAAATTGACTTATCATCAATTTTCACTACTGTCACAAAATATTTTAATTTTTTTAATAATATGATATATGATGCAATATAGGAGCTTTCAAAAAAAAAAATGATGCAATATAGGAAAGAAGATGCATAATAATGGGGAAAAAAAATGAAGAATAAGAAATGGGAGTGATTCTATAAAGTTTATATAATTCATAAGCATAATTTTTGAATATATAAGATCAGTTAAATTGATTTTAATTTGCACACTATATTATAATTGAGTTTGTATATTATTACTTTATTTATAACTTACTAAAACTTACATAAATTAGTGAAAAAGTATACAAGTTTTAATATAATGTCATGCATACACATGATAGTGTAAGAACATGCAAAAATTAAAGATAATTCTAACAAAGTTGGTCAAACAGTTAGCCTAATAATTAAAAAGTTTTAAGTTTGAGACCTTCAATTATAGGTTTGAAGCAGTAATAACATACATACTTGTTAAGCAAAACTATGAGACCAAGTTCATGCTCAGACGAATAAATTTATGAAAATAAGAACAACAGACGTACTAATTTGTGTTTTTTTTTTGTTGGTAATACACTCTAACATATTAGCAGTATCATTTCAACGTAATGTAAACTCTAATCGAGATGGAACGTAGTTTGAAATTTTCCTGGTGAAAAATAAAGGTGATGCCATCATACATCAGACGGGCCAGTTTGTTAAAAATATGTTACAAACATTATACAAACGGTACATGTTATTAACAAGACAAACATGAAACATAGTCTGATCTTCTCCACAAAAAAATTTGAGGAGCCAAAGGTGATACCAAACCTTAATCACTGGAACTGACATCCTCATCGCCGATGGAGAAAACGGGACAACTATTATTGCTTCTCATCCCCGCCATATTCTCGGCGGTGGCTAAAGGGGAAGAACACGGCGAAGCGTTGGCGGCGGCGGCTAAAGCGAGGCAGCCCTCGCTCCAAGAGCGTCGGATAGGGTACGAGACGGCGTTCTTATTCCCGGAGAGATGTGAGCAATGGCCGCGCAATTTATGAAGCGCGCAGCTGCAGTTACGGTGGTAGGGGCGGCGTTTGATGCCGGCGTCGTGGGAGATGCACCCGTCGAACACGGCCCGAAGTAGTCCGTCGCTGCTGGCTGCTCCGGCGGCCATTTCTTAGTATGAAGATCGGAGATTAGACGACAGGAATGGGCATACAAATGGGATATATATAAAAAGTGCATGGAATTGGGCATCTTAATGACGTATATATACACAAACAAGTGAAGACATTAGAGTGGGCGGCGATTTTGATCAATCCAATGTCCCTCGTATTCTCTACCGCCATATAATGTGGCGGCGTTGTACGTGCTACTACCACCTACCCATCCCATTTAATTTGAAGATTCCTAGGAATCCTACACTTACCTAGCTAGTAGAAACTGGGGGAGTCGGATAAATTATATTGAAGGTCATCAAGTTATGAAAAATTACAAGGTTACACTTGTCTGAATATCTTAAGGGGGTGTATTCAATCATGACTTTTGTAGAGTTTTAAAGACTTTTAAAATGATAGATTTTAATAAACTTTGATTGACTTTCATAGAGTCGTTCAAAATTTTTTAAAACTTTATAAGACTCTATAAAAGTCTATATAAAAAACATTCATAGACTTTTATCAACTTTTTATTTTAAAAAGTCTACAAAAGTCATTGAAATTCTAAATTGAATACATCCTTACAAATTTTCAATGATTTTGATTCTTATCATTTATAATTTTCTTACATAACATTTATAATATATCATAAAATTCTTCTTATTATATAGTACTTCACCCATATCAACATTTTTAACATTATTATTTTTATCCATTTTGTTAAATTATTTTTATCCATATGCTGATACTTATATGCTAAGTACTTATATATCTAAAAACATAATAAGTGTGAATGAAGGTTATACCCTTCATTTATGTCCGTTTTTACCGTTAAGTTTTTTTAATACATTATGCTTTAAAAGTTGTACTTTGTAATATTTTGGACAAACATACCCCTACCGTTATAACTTCCGTTATCTTTTCCACTATTATTACAATGCACATGCATCCGGCATATATTTTCTTATCTTATTCAATAATAATAATAATAATAATAATAATAATAATAATAATAATAATAATAATAATATACACATTATATATTGAAGTTATATGTTAATTATTTTCTAAAATATAAATATCAAATTTATAAAAATATTTTACATTATTATTATTATTTACAATAATTTAAATATCTAAAATTTAAATAAATTTAAAATTTTAATATAAAGTACTAATATTGGGAACCTAATTTTTTGCGCATCGCGCATAAGAAATACTAGTATTATTAATAAACATCAACAAAAAAAGAACTATTTCATTAGAAATTCATAAAAATATTGAACAATAAAATTTATAATAAAAGAATTGATCAAATAAAATATTTAAAAATATAATTACAAGTTGCATAAAATAAAATAAAATAAAAACAAAAATCTAATATTAATATAATATATATATATATATATATATATATATATATATATATATATATATATATATATATATATATATATATATATATATATTTATACTTGATATATTGCTAGGCATCACGCAAAGAACTATTATTTGCAAAGGCAATTTGAGACTGCGAACAACAACAAGGTGCTATGGTTTGCAACTCCAAATTGTTGTTGCGAACAGTAGTTCGCTATTTGTAGTAACCTGTTGTTAAAAAAAAATGGGGAAAATATATATTACGAATATAAACATAAAAAGAATAAAAATCAAAATATATAAGTATTTATATGAATATTATGAAACATATACTAAAATTTGACGATGAAAAATTTGCTTTGTTCATGTATTTAGGGAGAATTAGAGAAAATTAGGGATAAAAAATTCATAGAAAAAAATAAAAATCAATATAAACAAGCAATAATGAAGTAAATAATATTATTTCAAATTTTTAGAGGAAGATTGCAAAGTTTAGGAGAGAGAAAAATTAGTAGAGTTTAGGTATGAGAAAAATATATGATAATGTAGAAAAAATAATTTTATTAAATTTAGATAGGTTTATAAAATTTAAATATAGAGAAAAAATAGAGTTTAAATAGAGAGAGAAAACATTCAAAGTTGTTAGAAAGAACATTTTGAAATCTTGGAGTTGATGATTAGATTTCAACTATTTATATTTGAGAAGGAAAAGTCTACAAAAATCCTCAAATTAAAAAGTCTACAAAAGTTCATAACTTGTTGAATATCACATGACTTTTAAAGACTCTCTAAAAGTCTTAATCGAATACCACACGACTTTTAAAGACTCTTTAAAAATCTTGATTGAATACTGCCTGACTTTTAAAGACTCTCTAAAAGTTTGAATTGAATACCTCCAAACTTTTAAATTTCATAAAAGTCTTTAAAACTCTATGAAAGTCATGATTGAATACACCCCCCTTAGAGATTAGTCGGGTCAGATTGTATCAATATGCAAATGTAATATTTATTAAGAATAAAATGATTATTACTTATAAGGATATGTTTGGTTCATGGAAAATGTTTTCCTTGAATTTGAGAAAAACTGAATTGTGCGTTTGAACACTGTGTGGTGCGTTTATGCATGATTAATAGTGCATTTTGTGGTGATGCGTACCTAATGATGCGTTTTTTGCGTGCATTGGTGCATTTTGTTGTTGTGCGTTTCCTAACACTATTGGTGCGTGTTTGCATATCTAATGGTGCGGCCGCACTGACCGTAGTAAGAACAATTTTGTCTGATAAAAAAATATTAGTACAATATTTAATTTATAAAGTAATGTACAATTGAACCATTACAGAAATATTGACAAAAAATATTAATATTATAATGACTTAAATCATCTCCAATAATGCAAAAGCATAATTAAAATATTGAGTTGTTCTAAATAATCAAAAGGGGAAAAAAAAAAAAAAAAAACTTAACCTAGATTTGTTTTAAAAAAATGTAAGAAAATGATTATCAAGATTCCTTATTTGTAATCTTTCTTTGAATGACGGTCATGAGTTCAATTCTTTTCAACAATTTATTGGTTGAACCAAAAAACTATTTTAATTTACTAAAATCATAATACATTAAAGTTCTATGATATGGTACTCAAGACAATTACGACTCTAACTCCACCACAAAAGCTAGCTAACTTATGAATAGATGTTTGATCCCAACTTAAGTACCACTCCACAATCTCTTGTAAAGCCGATGTGGGATTGTATCATTCTAAAAAAATCTCATTAGAAAATGTTTAAATCATTTTTTAAAATGTGATTGATACTTACAGGGCCGGATTTTAGGCTGTGCAAGCTGGGCTACCGCACAGGGTCTCCAATTTTAGAGGGGCCCCAAATTTTAGAGGCTCAATATTTAATTTTTACCTAGCTAGTTTAGAAATAAAAACTAAAAGTTTTCAATTATACGTAAAAGGTTTTATGAAGAGATGGTATGAATGTGTAATTATTGTATTTTAACATGGAGGTCAAGGGTTTGAAACTTGCATGTATTAGTTTTAATAATTGTGATTTTGGTAGGGCCTCACTTATTTACCATAACAGGCCACAAAAACCTAAAATCCGGCCCTGGATACTTGATAGCATTCTAGGAAGAATTGGTCGAGTTTGAAATTTAAGTTAGAGAGTAATTAATAATGAGTGATAGCTATATACATAGGAAAGATTATTCTATACTTCACATAGTTTGGTTCAAATGTTCTAGGAACCTTTTCCTTGTTTATTGTGTGGGGTCTCACTAACAAAACATCTTCTTAGAATTTGATCCCAAGTTATTGTCTTGGTCTTGTTTGTTTGATTTGATGATGATCGAATGGATTATTCGGTTGAAAACTTCAGATTCTACTCATTTTAGAAACATCAATGTGTAATGTTATTTGATTTTTTTAATTTCCCCCCTTTGGCAATACTTATTAATTTATTATCAAAAAAAAGTTAGTTAATTTTGCTATCGAACTAAGGTAATAATATGATATTGGAGATTAAAAGTTTGAAAAGTAGTCAACTGTATTCGTCTAAATTAAAGAATTTGTTCCAGGCCTGGTGATTGATCAACCCAACTAAAAATATGTGTTAAACGGGGAGTGTGGATGGAGAATGACAACCCTACGTAGGTTATTGGCCATGTTTGGTAAAAAATTGGCCTATAGGTCAATTTTGGCTTATTTGACTACTATTAATTGTTTAATTTAGTTAAAATATCAATATAAATGTTTGGTTAATTAACTTTTTGCAACTCCAAAAGGCTAAAATTCAAAAAGCTACTCCAGGCACCTTTTTCAATTAGCTTTTTGAGAAAAGAAATTATACCAAACAGCTAATTTACCAAACACTTTTCTACAATCAGCTAATATTATCAACTATTTATACCCTCTAATTAACGCAATCAGCTAACAGCTAATGTCTTATACCAAACAGGGCCAATGTCTTATTCGTGTCCCTTTGAACTGAGAAGTTGCATGAAAAAACCTGAGCAGACAAATCTGAATGTCTTGAATTGTATGCTAAAAGAACAAACAAAATGGACTCAAATTCTGATGCAACAACCTTGGACTTGGAGGTTATGATAAAACATGTAAAAAATTCACCGTACCCATCTTACAAGGACTAAAATCACAACCTTAGTTAACAATGTTTGACATACTATACAGGCTGACAAAACAATGTGGCAATCTGAGATTCTGGACAAAATTTCTTTTGACTGTTTTCCCAACAAGCATTTCTGCTGCGAAAATGGACATTTTTTTTTTCAAATAGAAGTATTACACAAGTTTAACAATAGTTATTGGACAGATGTGTGGACCACGATTCAAAAACGACGTCGTTTTGCTTATATTTTATTTATTTTTCGTGCGCCCAGTTACAACATACATTTTTATAACTTATAATGTACATTATTCTAAAACATAATGTACATTATATTTTAAAGCATAGTGAACATTATTTTAAAACATAATTTACATTATATTACCCTAGATGTTTCATTATTATAACACATAATGTATATTATTTTAACACATAATGTACATTTTTTTAACACGCAATGTACATTATTCTAACACATAATGTACATTATTTTTACTTATAATATTCACGATAATCTTTTGCACTGTGGTCCACATAACTCTGTGGACCTTAATGTGCCCAAGTCTAACATACGGGCTTTATGTGTTTTACTCAAATCTTTCATTACATGCATATTGCTTTTATATACTATATAAGGAGAAAAGACATATATAGTTGTCTTATTATTATTATTATTTTTTTTTTTGTTAAAAGAATATTACACGTATGTATTTTCATCAATAAAAATTTTACTTGACGTGACATATTTTATGTTTGGATTTATTAACAGTAAAATTACGTTTCTAAAAAGTACTAGAGTGTTCTATATTTTTTTTTAGGTATACTTAGGGTTTTTACCGTCGAACACAGTGACTAATTCTCTCGCTGAATTGTAGGCATCTCTTTTAGGTGGGATAGCTGGTCTGAAGATTTAAGGCTGCTCCATTCCCAAAGCCAAGAGAGTGTTCTATATAAAACAAAGTAAATACATAATACAAAAAACTTGGATGAAATTAAAAGTACATTGTTTTAAAAATTGCATAGTTACGTACAGAACTAAATTGTTAGTTTTATAAGTCAAGTACTGAAATTAATAAGATCACAATAGTCACAGAACCAAAAGTGTAATTTTCTCTCAATACAACTATAACACATTATTGTAATTTAAATATAAAATTTAAAAATATATATTTGAATTCGAATCAAGTGAAATTATTTCAATTTTAATTTTTCAAAACTAAAGTTCAAAAAAATAAAAAGAAATTCAATTAAAATATCTATAATATGAGAATACAAACAAATCGTTTATTTAATTCCTAATCTCAGACAAACTCAACATACAACCGCCTATTGACTTGTTTATTTCCTAATCTCAGACAAACTCAACAACCGCCTATATAATACATCCCATAAAAAGCAAATTAAATCTAATATGCGGCAGCCACTCCTTTCATCTCTCCTAGCTTCTCAATTCACCATATACATACATTGATATATACATCCATGTACGTACACATTGATATCATTCGCCTCATACTTTTGAAGTTGAAGGTAGAAGCTCTCATCCGATGTCAATGCGTATGCAAAGAATGGCGTTCCATAATACAAGACCCCGATTTCAAGCTCTCCTACCCCGGGCCAAGGCGGGTGCTGGCGGCGGCATCGGGCGGTACCTTAACATTTACATCCATAACCACCAGTAGTCTCCACACCAAAACCCTATTCCATGTCAGTGAGAACCGCTCCTCCCTTGACACGTTTCCCCCGATATATCGTTGGTTGTCTGGTGTTTGGTGTTCGTGCAACGGGTTGGTGCTTTTCTCGGTGGGAAAACATATTTTGTTGTGGAACCCCTCCACTCGCTGCTGCACAAAAGTGCTTGAGCTTCCACATCTGAGCAACACGTTCCCTGACGATGTTGTCTCGGGGCTATGTTACCTCTCGTCCACGGGAGATTACAAGGCTGTTCTGTTATTTCGGTTTGGCGGTAATCGCACTGCTATGGTTGCGAGCCTCAAGAACAAAGAGTGGCGAAAAGTGCCGTTTCCTTACGACCCATACTCCGCTAGAGACGGGGTTAACTTTCACGACACACTCCATTGGAGGGTAAATGGTTCTAGGAATATCGCTTTCCCGTGGAGATGTAAAAAGGTCATTTATTTCCAGGCCGAGAGCGATGAATTCAAAGAGCTTCCCACCCCTGAACTGCACGGATGGAAAAGTGCAATTCTTGGCCTGGGAATCATGGACGGGTGTCTCTGCATGGTTCATGAGGGGGAAGAAAGAGGGGAGAAAAAAGTGTTGGTTATGAAGGAATATGGAGTGAAGAAATCGTGGGTTTGTCAGTTTGTCATCTCTGCATCTGCCTTTGCCTCTGAACTATTCAGTTTTGAGCATAGTTACATCACATTATACTCTTCCAAATGCAACACCAAAGTGCTGATATGCAACTGTTTCTGTTTCTATGGTTCCTGGGAAATATTAGTTTATGATGTGAAGAATAACAAAACTGACAATTATTTCTCACAAGAATCAGAACATCCTCATGCAGCTGCTATATGTTCCTATGTTCAAAGTTTTGTTTCGCCACATGAATTTATTTGGAGAGATGATCAGCACAAACTCACGGAGAATGATAGTGTGTTGAGATTTATTTTAGAAAGGTTTAATATATGATAAAATCATATTTTGTTATTTTAAGGTTTTATACACTTTTTTTTTTTTTTACGCTTTTTTGTCATACGTAAAAATCAAACAATTTTTATTTTTGAGTTTATAATTTCTTCTCAAAAAATCAATGCAAATATACAATTTACACCAATACCAGGCAAAATGTTTGATTAATCAACAACTTCTAGCCATTAATTAAGTTCAACCAAATTAAACTTCATAATATATACCACATAATTAAGATCTTTATTACACAAATAAAACACACAACAATGTGATTTTTCCTATTCCGGTGCCCTATGACGAGTTTACCCTTACAATTCGCTGAGTAGGAGAACATGCATGAAAATACTGAAAGAATCTTGATTAATATAATTCATTGGATCTATCTAATCTAATGGTCTGTAGTTGACTATATGATCACACCTAACAACATGGTTGTACTTGATCTGCCCTCTATATAGACATATTGTATGTCGAGTTATATAACTCAACGTATAATTCTTATTTTTAAAAAATACGTAATATATATTTCGTCTGTTCATTATATCATACAAAATTATTATCTTAAATATATTTATACACATATTATACGTCGGTTTATTATAATCGACGTATGAAACGTAACTTTTTAATTATAGATTATGTCAGCTTTTTTTTTTTTTCTTTTTTTTTTCTTTTTTAAATAAAACCAATGTAATATATATTCTATTCTTCTTTCTTTAAATCCAAAACTTCGCTCCCAACACTAAACAAAATTTCCTACCTCATCTTCCTTCCCACTACGAAGACAATAATTTCTACATAAGATTCAATTTTACGACTTATATGCATAATGAGTTAATTCTAGCCATGGTCATCCGACTATATTGATTTTCTAAAAGCCTACTTCTGTACAGCTGACTCCAAGTCAATTTGGATTAGTTTTACTATGGTTGAGATATCAGAAACCGTATGTAAAATAATAATAATAATAATAATAATAATAATAATAATAATAATAATAATAATAATAATAATAATTCTTATATATTTTAATTGTCAAGATTCAGTTCATGCTGCATAAACGGACACTTTCCCATGAATCAAAATTGAAACTTTATGATTATCAAAACAACTGTCAAACCAATTCAACTAGAATTGTTTTCAATGTTGCTTTAACTTAATTGCTTCTACACAATTGAATAATAATGTTAACTTAATAATAATTCAATTTAATTGCCTTAACTTAATTGTTTTCAATGTTTTATGAAGACACACCATTTTAATAATCTTATTTTTGAATCTGATTGTCTTAATTTTTGTTCTGATTGTCTTATGTTGGATTGATTGTTAAGCAATGTCGTAAGATTGCTAGTGACATTGTGAACGTGTTTGTTCGCCATGTCAACAGGTTAGCGAATCATTTAGCTCATGTGTTAGCACGGGCATATGATTCTTTGTCTGCCCTGGAGTCGTGATTTACTGTACCACTGACCTGTATTTCGTCTTTGGTGGATCATTAATGCAATTTCCTCTTTTCCTTTCAAAAAAAAACAAAAACAAAAAAAACAAAAAATTGCTTCTACACAAAGAAGTGTGACATCAGCTCCTTAGTCATATATAGCTTTGATATCATAAAACTAATTAAGGAAATGCAGAAAATACTGATGAAAGTAGGAAAACAACGTAACTTACCCATTCTTGGCTGGGTGCTAATGTTTGTATGTATGCATTTGCATTGCTCAAAAGTCAAAATGCATGTATATACTCATAAGTTACTAGTCTTAGATTGTTTGGAGTATTGAATTTAGTTGTTGTAGTGCATTCGAAGCAATTATTGATAGATTAATTGGATGATTTGATCCATCCATTTGGCTACATCAATTGTTGAAGGCTGTTAAAATTAACGGAAAAGAAGATATTCAGGTTCTGTTTGGTAACATAGTTAGTTTATCATTTAATTTTAACTTATTTGATCGCTATTAACTGTTTGACTTTGTTAAACATTCAATATAAGTGTTTGATTAATTAGCTTCTTGTAACAATTTATTGTTCTAAAATGCTAAAATTCAAAAAGCTACTCAAAGTAGTTTTTTTTTATCAGCTTTTTGAGAAAGTCATTTTGCATGTAATCCGCTAACAGTTAATTTACCAAACATCTTTCTACAATAAACTAATGCTATCAACTAGTCAAACTCACTAACCCAATCAACTAACAACTATTTATCGTCGTGATCATTTTTTCAAAGCGCTTCGCAATAATCGACATGTTCCGATCGTGATTTCGATCTCCGTTTTCGATCGTGGACATCTCTCTTGGTCGTGGGCTGAGGGAGCGATCTCCCTAGTTTGTCTAGGGCTTTTATAACGGTGGTTTTCTGATGACGAGAGTTACACATACGATATTCTTCTGTTTTCTGTTGTGGCATTTACATCGCAGCCCGCATCTCTAAATGGATCTCCGACTTTTGAAGCGCCGATGTGCCGATCTAGCAATAGCCGAGGAGGATGGTGGCGGATTAGATGCACCGGAGGCGAAGGTGATCCCGGACGCGACAATCCAGAATAACATTGTCGGGCGTCTCCTGACCGATCGACCGATCCGCTTTGAACACATGCAACACGTCCTAGCCGCGGTGTGGCGCCCGGTGATGGGGATGTTTGCTTTTCCTTTGGCGGATGATTTGTTTTTGTTCCAGTTTCCTCACCCGAAAGACATGCACCGGATAATCGACGATGGACCGTGGTCCTTCGAGAATCACCATTTGATCTGCGCACAGGTTCCTGAAGGGACTCTGCCGGAAGATGTTCCACTCAACGCGATTCCTTTTTGGATCCAGATTCATGGTTAGCCCTCTATGCATCCCCGGATTTTATCGCCAAGATTGGGCAGTACATCGGATCTTTTGTTACAGCTGACCCATACAATTTTGGGGGGGCCTGGAGAAGTTTTTACAGGATCCATGTAAAGGTGGCTGTGTCATCTCCGATCAAGAGGAGAATGAAACTGCTTCAGCGGGATGGTACGACGCGATGGGTTGCGTTCAAGTACGAAAGACTTAGTACTTTCTGTTATTGCTGCGGCTTACTAGGCCACTCCGATAAGTTCTTCAAGGTGGCGTACGAACAAGGTCTCTTACTAGAAGATTTCCCGTTTGGCCCCTGGTTACGAGGTGGCCCCAGACGCCAGGTGCGACCAATTGGCGCAAATGGCTATTATCCACCACTCTGCCTGCAGTGTCCCAGGATTCGGGACTGCCAAGTCGTTCTGTAGATTTGGCTCCGGCTGCGATCGTAGCAATGGAGGAAGCGGAGGCAGTGCACGGTGACCTGAAGCGTAGAAGGGAGGATAACATGAAGATGGTGGAAATTAACAGAGATGACGTGCGGATGGCAGATAATCTACACCAAGATGATTTGGCGGGTCTGGAGGACCAGACTCGCCGGGTCCAATGAGTTTACTGAGCTGGAACTGCCGGGGTCTAGGGGGCGACCGGTCAGTTCGAGAGCTAATGGGCATAGTGTCCAAGCAGAAGCCCCAGTTTGTCTTTTTGATGGAGACAAAGGCTACGGAAACAAAGATTGAAGAGGTACGGATCAAATTAGGATTTGAAGGCAAATTATGTGTGGATCGTATAGGGTTCGGAGGAGGCCTGGATTTCCTCTGGAGAGATAAGAACACGACGTCTCTAAAGAGTTATTCCAATAATCATATCGATATGGACATAACTCTGCCGGGTCGGCCGGGGTGGAGAATGACGGGTTTTTACGGAGAATCAGACAGAAGTAGAAGGCATGTCACCTGGGATTTGCTACGGCAACTGAAAGGTGAATCTCAATCTCATTGGGTTGTTGTAGGCGACTTCAACGATATCATTAGTCTTGCGGAGAAAAGAGGGCTGCACTCACATCCCTCGGCTCTCATTGAGGGGTTCAATGACGTGTTGGAGGACTGTGGGCTGGTTGACCTGGGTATGATAGGGGGACGATTCACATGGGTGAAAGGGATAGGTACGGAGTCGTGGGTGGAAGAGAGATTGGACAGGGCGGTGGCGACGGTGGACTGGGTGGAGTTGCATGAGGGCGCTGTGGTGCGTAATATATATGCTCATACATCTGACCATTGCGCAATTTTTCTGGATATTAATGCCGATCAGGTGCGACTAGCAGCTCGGCAGTTCAGGTTTGAATCGACTTGGATGCTGGAAGCCGGATGCACGCGGGTGGTCGATGAAGCATGGCGCATGTCTACCGGATTGCCATTCTCAGATCGGCTTGCTATTTGCGGTGAACGATTGTGGAAATGGGGTGGTGAACATCACCGGATGTTTGGGGCCCGGAATAACCAACTCAGACGCACTTTGGATAAATTGAAGGAGGATCGCTCACCAAATGCCGTGCGAATATTTATGGAAGCCGAGAAGGAGCTGGATGCGGTCCTGAAAGCCGAGGAGATATTCTGGAAACAGCGGTCTAAGCAACTTTGGCTAAGACACGGGGATGCTAACACTAGGTATTTTCACAAAATGGCAACGGCACGTCGCAAACAAAATCATCTATCCCAGCTCAAAAATCAAAATGACGAGTGGGTGGAGGGTACGGCAATGAATCTGGAAATACTCAGGTACTATGAACATATCTTTTGTTCCGGCATTTGCGGTGCCAATTTTTTTGACCGGGTTCGGGGGAGAGTGACGGCTGAGATGGTAAATGTGTTGTCCAGCCCATTCACCATAGATGATGTCAAGATGGCACTTTTTGCCATGCAACCCGAAAAAGCACCTGGGCCAGATGGCTTATCCCCGGCTTTTTTCCAACATTTTTGGCTGGTGATTGTGCATGATTTATCTGTGTTCATCATAAAATGTGTTGATCATAGACAATTCCCCTCGGGTTTGAACGACTCTAATATCATTCTTATCCCTAAAAAGCCGGTCCCTGAAAAGGTCGCGGACTTACGGCCAATTGCACTTTGTAAAGTCATCTATAAAATTCTGGCCAAAATGTTGGCTAATAGACTGAAA